GGGCCCCTGTCAGTAAGACCAGAATCTATCCTGCGTGCTTGAGCTGTCTTTTTGGAGCCCATTCCCTATGGTGGAATACTTTGCTCAGCCTTGATGCAAGGACTTGGTCCTGACCCAACTGAATGTGCCAGGCTTTGTTGACTCCCCATGAGAAGCCTTACCCTTTCTGAGGAGGAATAAATAGGGGATAGGATGGGGGAAGGTGGGAAGGGAGTGGGAGGGGAGTGAGGAGCAACTGTGGTTGGTATGTAAAGTGAATAAAAAATTTAAATTTAAAAAAAACTAAGCCACAAGATGCCTTATTTTGGCAAAGGCACTTATGGTGCAAGCCACTTGCAGGTAGGAGAGTTGACTCAGTGGCTACGTGCACTGGCTGCTCTTGTAGAGAACTTTGATTCAGTTCTAAGCATCCACATGGCAACTCAACCATTTGTAATCCCTACCAGGGGATATGATGCCCTCTGCTGGTCTCTGCAGCCACCAGGCACACATGATGCATGGATGTACATGCAGGCAAAACCACTCGTTCACATAAAACAATAATTAAATATTAAGAGGGGAGGAGAGAACCAACTGCACAGAATTGTTCCCTGGTCTGAACATGTATGTGTAGTTATGCATCTACAGAGAGAGAGAGAGACAGAGACAGAGACAAAGAGAGAGAGACACACACAGAGAGAGAGAGAGAGAGAGAGAGAGAGAGAGAGAGAGAGAGAATAAATAATAAATTGAAGAAATATCCAAACAAATGAAATTATAGCATATGTTCATGGACAGAAAAACATTCTGGAAATTAGAATTTCTCCTGTTTTTCATTGTATGTTCAATGTTGCTCCACTAATTCTCAACAGAATTTATGTACAAATTTGGCATGCTGTCTTTTAAATTTAAAAAGAATTGTCAGATAGAGAAAATATGATTCAAGAGAATCCTGGGGGGAAAATCCAGTGCTTTCCCATGAAACCATAGTTTTAAGAACAAGACCATTCATGGTGATGCATGCCTTAAACCCACTAGAGGAAGAGGAAGAAGGTTCTATGAGTTTGAAGTCAGTGAGGCCTGCATGGAGAATCCCAGACCAGAAAAGGATACACCAGGTCTAAAACATAAAAATAAGCTTAATTTCAAATTTTGAAAATAAATACATGGTACAGATCTGGGCTAAGGCATGATAACCAGCGCATCTGAGAGTAAAACGAACAGACCACCCACACACAGAGCTTCAGTGTGGGATAAAGCCAGGCTGGGATAAAGCCAAGAAAAATAATACACTGGGGAGATAGTTGGCTAGGAGCAAATCACAAAACGATTTCTTCAAGACCACACTTTCAACATCACAATACTCAGATTCAGACCCAAACCCCAGCAGCAGCTCTCTCGCAGTGTGCACTGGGTGACCTCATAGGAGCCGCTTCCCTCAGTCTCCTCTCATCTATACAATGGGCCTGACCTTCTCTGTGTCTCCCTTTTCTGGTATCCTCTTCAATGTCTTTCTTCAAAGACTTAAAGTTCTTGTCAAATAGGTCTTTTGTTTCTTTGGTTAGGGTTACCCCAAGATATTTTATGGTATTTGTGGCTATTGTGAAAGGTGATGTTTCTCTGATTTCTCTCTTAGCTTCTTTATCATTTGTGTATAGGAGGGCTACTGATTTTTTGAGTTGATCTTGTACCCTGCTACATTACTGAAGGTGTTTATCAGCTGTAGAAGCTCCCTAGTACAGTTTTGGGGGTTACTAATGTATACCATTATATCATCTGCAAATATTAAAAGTTTGACGTCTTTCTTTCCAACTTGAATCTCCTTGATCTCCTTATGTTGTCTTATTGCTCTACCTGTCCGGCTGGAGTTGGTGAGCTCGCATTAGCTCACCAACTTCAAGCTATGTTGACTAGATATAGAGAGAGTGGACAGCCTTGTCCTGTTCCTGATTTTAGTGGGATTGCTTTGAGTTTCTCCCCCCATTTAATTTGATGTTGTCTGTTGGCATGCTGTATATTGCTTTTCTTATATTTAGATATGATCCTTGTATCGCTGATCTCTCCAAGACCTTTATCATGAAGGGGTGTTGAATGTTGTCAAATGCTTTTTCAGCATCTAGTGAAATGATCATATGTTTTTTTCTTTCAGTTTATTTATATGATGGATTACATTGACAGATTTTTCATATATTGAACCATCCCTGCATCTCTGGAATGAAGATGCCCCTCAAATGAAAAATGAATAAAGAAAATGTGGCACCTTTACACATTTGAGTACTACTCAGCAATAAAGACAATGACATTTTGAATTTTGAAAAAAACATCCTGAGTGAGGTAACTCAGACCCAGAAAGATGAGCATGATATGTACTTACTCATAGGTGAATACTAGCTGTAGAAAAAGGATATTGAGCCTATAATTCATGATCCTAGAGAAGCTAAGTAACAAGGTGAACCCAAAGAAAAACATTCATAGATCCACCTGGAAAGTGGAAACAGACAGGATTGGGAGCATGGGGGTGGAGAGGGAGTAGGGACAGAGGTACAAGACAAGGGAAGAAGGGGAGTGGGGAGGAGAAGTTGAGGGAACAGGATAGCTGAGATGGAGGAAGGATAGAGATAAGAGCAAAGAAAGAGATATCTTGATTGAGGGAGCCATTATAGGATTAGCAAGAAACCTGGCACTAGAGAAATTCCCAGGAATCCACAAGGATGACCCCAGTTAAGATCCTAAGCAAAAGAGGAGAGAGTGACCATACTGGCCTTGTCCTGTAGTCAGACTGATGAATATCTTAAATATCACCATAGAACCTTCATCCAGCAACTGATGGAAACAGAGGCAGAGACCTGCATCGGAGCACTGGACTGAGCTCTCAAAGTTCAGTTGAAGAGTGGAAGGAGTGAGAATATGAGCAAAGAGGACAAGACCATGATGGGTACACACACTAGAACAGCTTACCTGAGCTAATGGGAGCTCACCAACTCCAGCCGGACAGGGAAGTAAACAACCAACATAGGTCCAAACTAGTTCTTCTGAATGCGAGTGACAGTTGTATGGCTGGGGCAGACTGCGGGGCCACTGGCAGTGGCACCAGGATTTATCTCTACTGCTTGTACTGGCTTTTTTGAAACCTATTCTCTTTGGAAGGTATCTTGCTCAGCCTATATATAGTAGGAAAGGCCTTGGACCTCCCCCAAAGCAATGTGCCTTACCCTCTCTGATGAGAGGATGGGGTGGGGTGGCGTTTATGTGGAGGGAAGAGGAGGAGGGGAGGGAGTGGGAATTGGGATTGATTTGTAAAATGAAAAAGATTGTTTTCTTTTTAAAATATGTTTTTCAAAAAATAAATGTGAGTTGGGGGATCCTATGACCCCGTAGAAGGGAAGGGGTGCCTGGGAGCAAGCTGGGATGGGATAGAAAGAGAGAGGCAGTAGCCGGGGAGAGAAGCCCCTGCTGAATAGGGGAGTGGGAGGGTGGAGATGGAGGAAGGGTGGATATAGGAGCAGGGAAGAAGACACCTACAGTAAAGGATCTATTTTAGGGCTAGCAAGAGACTTTGCTCTAGAGGGGATCCCAGGTGTCCACGGGGATGTCCCCAGCTAGGTCCTTGGACAGCAGAGGAGAGGGTGCCTGAACTGTCCTTGCCCCACTATCACGCTGATGATTATCTCGAATATCACCATAGAATCTTCATCCGGCAACCGATGGAGATAGAGACAGAGACCTTCATTAGAGCAACGGACTGAGCTCCCAAGATCCAGTTGAAAGGCAGAAGGAGGGAGAAGATGATCAAGGAAGTCAGGACTGCGAGGGGATGGTCCACTAACTGAGGCAGTGTGCCTGTTCTAATGGGAGCTCACCAAATCCAGCTGGACCGGGTCTGAATGAGCATGTGATCAAACCGGACTCTCTGATTGTGGCTGACAATGGGGGCTGACTGCCCGGACTCTCTGATTGTGACTGACAATGGGGACTGACTGGGAAGCCATTGATAAAGGCACTGGAACTTGTTTTTACAGCATGTTCTGACTTTTTGGGACCCTAGTCTAAGTGGATGCACAGCTTCCTAGGCCTGGATGTAGGGGGGAGGGCCTTGGACTTCCCACAGAGCAGGATTCCCAGCCCTCTCTCAAGCAGGGCGGGAGAGAGAGGACGGGGTGTGGGGGGAGCGGGAGGGGATTGGGAGGAGGGAAGGAAGTGTAAATAATTGAATGGAAAAAAATAAAAATAAAAATATCCACAAAAGATGTGACGTTACAACATTTGAACACTAGATGGCAGTCAATGGTGCTAAAAATCAAGTTGTCCTTGACTGCAGGCAGGAGCAGCAAGAACAGGCAGCCCTCTTCTTGGTCTTCTGAACTGTCCCAGTTCTACAAAACCTTGGAGAATGGTTTTGGGGTGCAAATCTCCAAGACAAAGTACGGATGAAGCCACTCCGCACACTGCTGATGATGTTAGTCTTTGGTTTGGAGTAGAGAGAGGGCTTACGGGATAGAAACAAAGTAAGCTAGGGATGGCCTGCCAACCTGCAACTGAGGGAAACCCCAGACGGCACCTCTGCTGCTGCTTCTCTGGTGGAGAAGATGCCTCTTGTGAACATTTTATTTGAATAAGAATTGATTGGTTGGAAATCTATCAAATCAGAGAGGATCAACACGGCTTTTCTAATTCTTTCTCCTCACAGGAATCAAAATATGGAGACTGGGTGCCCCACAGGTCTCAGCGGAGACCCTATAGGTCTCACCATACAATGTCTCTGAATTTCTGGGAGCCTCAGTGACCTCCACGTCACCCTCTTCTTCCCAGAAGCCTTCAGAAACGACTTCACCTCATGAGGCCTGCTAACCTAGTTTTTCCATCAGTGTGTGGCAAGGGTGGAGCAGAGAGACTGTTAGTGGCCCCTGGGTGGGTCTGGGAGAGGCCGCAGTGGTGGTGGTGGTGGCTGCCAGGGTGGATCAGGGTGTGGTTGAACTCTGTGGCTCAGGGCTGGGCAACAGAGCAGGAGGAGCAAGGTTCAGGCAACGCGTCTGAGTTCCTCTTAGGCTCATGGTTGAGGAAGTGAATAACTCCCAGGCGCTTCGTATATTCTGGACTTTAGTTGCTGGATAGAAGAGGCTCTGTATCACCACCAGCTCTTTGTGTCCAGCGTGAGTTTATGAAACCATTTTGGGGCAGGCAACTACACCCAGCTTACAGACAGCTAAGGGCTGGGCTATGCATCGGGAGGGTGGATAGCCAGAATCTATTGACTTTAAGGGTCTCTATAATTCTCTTCCCCGACAGATGGGCAACAGAAGCCTATTCCCGGAGAATGAAAGAGGGGAGCCTTGTAAAGATCCAAGAGCATCCTGGTATAGGGAGCCACGGGTTCAAAGACACTGAGACTGTACCAGAGCAAGTGATACATAGGATTTGAGAGTTCGGCTTATTCCAAGGGCAATGGCGTTGAAGGATGAGAACCAATCTGGTCCACAAGAATTGGACCACTTTCAGGCCGAGAAGAAAACACCACGTAAGGGTATAGAGGTGCCTTATGGAGCGGCTGCAGAAGGGGCTGGCAATCGGTCAGATATGGCTCTGGAAATAAGGAGAATGAATGACCTCAGATCAGAACTGGGTGCATTTCCTGATGAAACAGATGTGAAGGCACAGGGTAAGAAACAAAGGTAGAAAGAGTGTAAACTAGGCCTGATTACCTCTAGCATAATGTGGGTGGGGTATTACTAGGGACAACTCCTGGAACACCTCTATTGCTCCTGCCATCTGCCACGTGGGCTTCTCTGTGCCCAGATGCCCTGAGCTCTTTCCACCTCAGGACCTTAGGATGTTGGTCCCTGCTCTAGTTAGACTAGCGTGATCTATGGAGGAATGGGACTCGGAGGTTTGGCTTATCTAAGACCAAAGCTGTTGAAAGGCTCTCAGGATGAGAGTTCATAAGAACAGGCAGGGCAGGGACCGGCCCTGTGGTCGTGCAGTGCTAAATTTTCCCACAAGAGGGCGCCAATAGACTTCTTTCCTTAACTTCACTCTGCCCAGCTGTGTGTGCATTTGGTCGTGTTTGTAGGGCCTTTTGTGTTTGTTCTTGCAGTTTAAAAGAGTGGTTTTCTATCGCTTGAAGATGGGGATGGAAGAAGGTGACACTCACCGGGACCCTGTTTCTCCTGGTACCTGGCACCCGGTACCCTGCGGTGTTGGGCTGGCTTTTGTCTCCACTGACCTTTGAACTAAGGGAACACACATTAATATTTCCTTGATTGTGACACTGCACTTGGCAGTGACCCCAGAGACTTCTCAGCCAACTGGGTAAATTTAAGGGTGGAAGATTGAAAAAAACGGCAGGTCAGAGTTTAACACAATAAAAAGAAGGGCGGGTCGGTCAATAACTTGGCTCTAATTAGGGTAGCTGTGAAACAGTGGCGGGGGAAGGGCAGCTTCAGAAGGCAGGGTGTAATTCTAGCTGAGTGGTGTCTGCCTGTCTCCGCTAAGCTCACTGTGTTGACAGCAGGCAGGGCACACAGAAGACCGCGGTAAAATAGAGCGTGCTTCTAACTGTGGCCAGCGTGGTTGGTTTGAGACACACCCCCCCCCCGCCCCGCACACCCTTGCACTGAGCTCTTGAATGTGTCCCTTAAATAAGGAGGAGGACCAGAAGCCAATGCCGGGAGCTGGGGAAGGAGCCAGGGAACTAAGAGCAAGATGAGGCCCAGTAGATAGGAAAAGCAAGGCAAGTGGGGTGACTCCTCCCAGCTCCTCCCCTACCTCCCAACCCACTCAAGGTAATGTTCTCTATCTCCTTACCGATTCAACTTTATGCCCCTGCCCCTGTGTGGAGGCCAGGAATCAATCGCCAGTGTTATCTTTGGTGCAGTCAGCTTTATTTTCAGAGACAGGGTTTCTATCTTGGTCTGGAGCTCCCTCATTCAGTAGGGTTGGCTGGCCAGTGAGCCCTAGGCGTCTCCCTGGCTGCCTCTCCCCAGCACTAGGGTGAGAAAGGCATGCCACCACAGCCGGGTTCGAGATGGGTGCTAGGACTCCAACTCAGGTGTTCTACTTGCACAGTGGGCAACTCATCCAGCAGAGCTTTCGCCCTTCACACCAGATGCTGCTGCTCTCCTGGCTGGCTCATGGTAATGTTTCTTTATGTGCTGTGATTTTCACTGTGAGTCCCTAGAGAGGGGGATTATAGGGCTAGCTTAAAGGCACATTCCAACACAGAGATTGGAATCGCTTCTGCCAGACATCACAACAATACGGACAGCAGCCAGACCCGACTTCTTTTGTTTTGACTGGCCATCTTCAGGTTTTTGAGACGATGCTTTTTTTTTTAAGTTTATATAATTTCTTTCTTCTTTTTATCTTTTTTGGCTTTGTTTTTTATTTATTTATTTAAAAGAAAACAAACTATCTTTTCTCATCATACATCCCAATCCAAGTTCCCACTCCCTCCCCTCCTCCCATTCCCTCCACAAAACCCTCCCATCCCACCCTTATCTACTGCTCAAAGAGGGTAAGGCACACTGCTTTGGGGAAGGTCCAAGGCCCTTCCTACTATATTTAGACTGAGCAAGGTGTCCATCCAAAGAGAATAGGTTCCCCAAAAGCCAGTACATGCAGTGGGGATAAATCCTGGTACCACTGCCCGTGCCCCCCTGACCCTCATCTGCCCCAGCCATGCAAATGTCAACCACATTCAGAGCTTGTTTCTTCCTAGTCCAACTGGAGTTGGTGAGCTCCCATTAGCTCAGGTAGACTGTTTCATTGGGTGTCCTCATCATAGTCTTGACCTGTTTGTTCATATTCTCACTCCTCCCACTCTTTAACTGACTTTGGGAGCTCAGTCCAGTGTTCTGATGTGGGTCTCTGCCTCTGTTTCCAGCAGTTGCTGGATGATGGTTCTATGGTGATATTTAAGATACTCATCAGTCTGACTACAGGGCAAGTGAATACTGGGCCCCTTCTTCTCTATTGCTTAGGGTCTTAGCTGGGGTCATCCTTGTGGATTCCTGGGAATTTCTCTTGTGCCAGGTTTCTTGCTACCCCTATAATGGCTCCCTCAATCAAGATGTCTCTTTCCTTGCTCTCATCTCTGTCCTTCCTCCATCTCAACTATCCTGTTCCCTCAATTTCTCCTCACCCCTCTTCTTCTTCCCCTCCTATTGCCCTTCCACCCTTCCTTCTCTCCCCATCCCCATGTTCCCAATTTTGTCAAGAGAACTTGTATGTGTATGTTTCCACTTTCCAGATGGATCTATATATGTTTTTCTTAGGGTTCACCTTATTACTTAGCTTCTCTAGGATCATGAACTATAGGCTCAATATCCTTTGTTTATAGCTAGTATCCATTTATGAGTGAGTACCATACCATATTCATCTTTTTTACCTCACACAGGATAGTGTTTTCTAATTCCACCCATTTGAATGCAAAATTCAAGATGTCATTGTCTTTTTTTTGTTTTTTGTTTTTGTTTTTACCACTGAATAGTGCTCTAATATGTAAATGTTTGGATGATTTTTTGATGTGTTCGTAGATTTGGTTTGCCAGTATTTTATTGAGTATTTTTGCATCCATCTTCATGTGTGAGATTGGTCTGTAATTCTCATTTTTGGGTGAGTCTTTGTATGTTTTGGTATCAGGGTAACCATAACCTTATAAAAAGAGTTTGACAATGTTCCTTCTATTTCTATTATGTGGAACACTTTTAGGAGTATAGGTTTAGCTATTCTTGGAAGTTCTAGTAGAATTCTGCACTAAAGCCATCCAACCCTGGGTGTTTTTGGCTAGGAAGTTTTTGATCACAGCTTCTATTTCCTTGCAGTTTATAGCTCTATTTAAATTGTTCACCTGGTCTTAATTTAATTTTGGCATATGGCATCTATCTAGAAAATAGTCCATTTCTTTTACGTTTTCCAGTTTTGTGGATTACAAGTTCTTGTAGTATGACCTAATGATTCTCTGGATTTCCTCAGTGTCTGTTGTTATGCCGCCTTTTCATTTCTGATTTTGTTAATTTGGACGTTCTCTCTCTGCCTTTTGATTGGTTTGGATAAGGGTTTGTCTGTCTTGTTGATTTTCTCAAAGAACCAGCTCTTTGTTTGATTCTTTGTATTGCTTTCTTTGCTTCTATTTTGTTAATTTTAGCCCACAATTTGATTATTTCTTGTTTTCTACTCCTCCTGGGTGAGTCTGCTTCTTTTTGTTCTAGAGCTTTCAGGTATGCTGTTAAGTACCTAATGTGAGCTTTCTCTATTTTCCTTATGTAGGCACTTAGTGCTATGAACTTTCCTCTTAGCACTGCTTTCATGGTGTCCCATAGGTTTGGATACATTGTGCCTTCATTTTCATTGAATTTAAGCAAGTCTTTAATTTCTTTCTTTATTTCTTCCTTGACCCAAGGGTGGTTCCATAGTTCATTGTTTAATTTCCATGAGTTTGTAGGCTTTCTAAGAGTAGTATTGTTGTTAAATTCTGACTTTACTCCATGGTGATCCAATAAGACACAGGGGCTTACTCCAAATTTTTTTGTTTATCTGTGGAGGTCTGCTTTGTTACCGAGTATGTGATCAATTTTAGAGGTTTCATGAGGTGCTGAGAAGAAGGTATATTCTTTCCTGTTTGGGTGGAATGTTCTGTAGATGTCTGTTAAGTCCATTTGAGTCATGACATCTGTTAACTCTCTTATTTCTCTATTAAGTTTCTATCTGGTTAATCTGTCCATTGGCAAGAGTGGAGTATTGAAGTCTCCTAGTATTAGTGTGGGGGGTTTGATATGTGATTTAAACTTTAGTAATATTTCCTTTACATATGTGGGTGGTCTTGCATTAGGGCCTTAGATATTCAGGATTGAGACTTCATCTTGATGTTCCTGTTATGAGTATAATGTGTGCTTCTCCATCTCTTCTGATTGATTTTAGTTTGAAATCTATTTTGTTACATATTAGGAAAGTTACACCCACTTGTTTCTTAGGTCCATTTGATTGGAAACCTTTTCCCAACCCTTTACTCTGAGGTCGTGTCTGTTTTTGAAGTTGAGGTGTGTTTCTTGTATATAGCAGAAGACTGAATCTTGTTTTCACATCCATTCTCTTAGCCTGTGTCTTTTTATAGGTGAATTGAATCCATTTATATTAAGAGATATTAATGGCCAGTGGTTGTTAATTCCAGTTATTTTTCAGTAGTAGTGTTTGTGTGTTTTCCTTCTTTGGGTTATGCTGGGGAGGGGGGGTATCAGCTGCCTGTGTTTTTGTGTGTACAGTTAGCTTCCTTGGGTTGGAGATTTCCTTCTAGTACTTTCTATAGGGCTGTGTTTGTGGATATGTATTGTTTAAATCTGGTTTTGTCATGGAATGTCTTGCTTTCTCCATCAACAGTGATTGATAGCTTTGCTGGGTACAGTAGTCTAGGCTTGCATCCGTGGTCTCTTAGTGTCTCCAACACATCTGTTCAGGACCTTCTGATTTTCATGATTTCCATTGAGAAGTCAGGTGCAGTTCTGATAGGTTTCTCTTTATATGTTACTTGATCTTTTTCCTTTGCAGCTCTTAATATTCTTTCTTAATTCTGTATGTTTTGCATTTTTGATTATTATATGGCAAGGGGACTTTTTGGATCCAGTCTATTTGGTGTTCTGTAAGCTTCTTGTACCTTCATAGGAATATCCTTCTTTAGGTTGGGAAAGTTTTCTTCAATAATTTTGGTGAATATATTTTCTGGGCCTTTGAGCTGTACATCTTTTCCTTCGTCTATCCCTATTATTCTTAGGTTTGGTCTTTCTTTTCATGGTGTCCCAGCTTTCCTGAATGCTTTGTGTTAAGAATTTGTTGAATTTAATGTTTTCTTTGGCCAATGAGTTTATTTCCTCTATAGTATCTTCAGCGCCTGAGATTCTTTCTTCTATCTCTTGTATTCTGTTGATTATACTTGTCTCTGTACTTCCTGTTTGTTTACCCAGACTTTCTATATCCAGAATTCCTTCAGTTTGTGTTTTCTTTATTGCCTCTATTTCAGTGTGCAAATCTTGAACTGTTTGCTTCACATGTTTGATTGTTTTTTCTTGGTTTTCTTTGTGGGATTTATTAATTTCTTCCATTTTTGTTTGTCTTTTCCTCCATTCCTTTAAGGGAGTTTTTTATTTCCTCTTTAAAGATCTCCATCATTTTCATAAAGCTACATTTAAAGTCATTTTCTTCTGCTTCTTCTGGGTTAGGATGATCAAGTTTTCCTGTTGTATGTCCGCTGAGTTCTGGTGTTACCATGTTGCTTTTTAGGTTGTTGGATGAATTCTTGCTTTGGCATTTACCCATCTCTTCCTTCAAATAAGGACAACAGTGTCTTTGCGTCTTGGTCTAGTCCTTGTGGTGGCTGTCTGAGTGTTTGGGAATTTTTCTTGGTCTGCTCTATAATGTCAGTGTCTGTGTCTCTGGAAGCCTCTGAGTTCTCTCTAAGCCTGTTCTCTTGGTCTTCTCTCCTGGTTCACTCTCTTGGTCCCCTGAATGTTGTAGCAGACTCTTGATACCCTCAGTATTGTAGCAAACTCTTGGTCCCCTCAGTATTGTAGCAAGCTCTCAGCTCTTAGGTGGGGTGGGGCTAGTAGCTTGGAGGAACCAGTGATGGAGTAAGGGTTTGGGGGAGCTTACCTGCAAAAAACTCTCCTGTGGCTGGCTAGAAAAGCTGAGGGAGTTGGGGCCCGGGGCTTTGTCCCACTGTGTAGGTCCTAGAGAGTGGGATGTCCCCCAGTGTGGCTGATCACTCACCTCTTAAGTCCCCGCAGTATTAGGGCAAGCTGTGTTTCAGAGTTCCGCCGAGGTAGCAGGATAGGCGAGTTTCCGGAGATCCATGCTTAAGGTAGTGTTAGGTCACAGTCCCTAACCATGAGTGCTTGACCAGTAGCTCTGAAACCTCATGGAACTTTCTTCCCCACCAAACCCAAATCAAAACAGACATGGACTTTATTTTCTTTTTCTTGACCACTCTTTTCCAGGAGCATAGCTACTCCTGAGGACTGTTTTCTACAGAGACATCGCCAGCACAATTCTGTACCCTGCCTGGGTAAGGGGATCAGTGGAGAGTGTCAGCATTCCCCCTTTTCCTAGCAAATCCTGTGGCTTAATAGACACATGCCAAGCAATGGCAGCAAACGCCCAGTGTACGCCAGTTTCCTCACACATGTGTGTTTGGATCTGTCTTCATGCTGCCAGGACTTTCCTGCCTTTAAGTCTGTCCTGTTTCAAAAGATGCCCTTCTTGTGTGTCTATGTTTCATCGGCTGAGAGTTTGGAGCATCACTAAAGAGCTCATAACACATTTGAATCTCACATCCCTCCCACACCCACTGAATCAGAACCTGTAGCTTCCCCAGTGTCCTGGGACTTACCCACGTTGCAAAGCAGAGCTCTGTCTTTCCATATGACGCAGAGCAGGAATGGGGTAAGAGTCTGTGTGATGTGTGAGCGTGGGACCAAACAAGACTGGTCTCCCTTCCACCTGCTTCTTTTCCAGTCCAGTTGCTCAAAGAGAAAGATGAGGATCCATTCTGACATCTCTGTCAACTCTTGCCTTTCAGTCCATCAGACAGCACTATTGACAGTCAGCTGTAGGCAATTCCTGACTCAGGCATAGTCACCAGGAAGTGGGCTCGGAGGCCCTAGTGCTGTTCTGCCTGGAGCTTTCAAAGTACCCTTGTACCTTCTGAGCCTTCTCCTGGCTCTAGTTTTCTTTACCCCCTTCCCCAAGTCTGTGTGATTGCCTTACCTTAGACTCATGCTAAGAACAGAAGATGCACCAACCCTGAGCCCCATCACTGCCCATCTTAACTCTCAAGAAGGTAAGATACACCCCCTGTTCCCCAACCACAGGCTGAGTGTCTGCACTCTCAAAACCTTCAGCTTCTCGCCATCGTGGACCTAAAGAAACTTCCTTAGAGCCAGATGCAGAACTAGACTTTCTTTGTCTGCATGGAAGGATTTCTCACTGGTCCTGTCTTCATTCTTAATGTAGAAGACATCCATAAGTGTTCACAGGGTCTCTAAAGAGACAGGACTTTGTCCTTCTGTACACAAAGTTTCTGGGGAGAAGGCGAATGAAGGATGCCATCTGGAGTCCAGCATCAAGAACTATAAAATTAAGATTGCTTTACATCCCCATGTAAAATGCCCCACCCTCCTGCTCCTCACTTGAGGTTCATTTTGTGCTCAGAATCTCTGGCCCCTGAAGGGTGTCTTGGAGCTGATGCATTGCCAGTGGCTCTGAGAACAGACCCCTTAGCAGTGGATGAAAATTACTCAGAAATGGATGGTGGCTGGAGACAGAGGCTGGAGCAAATGACGACGTTGTGAAGACGTGAACTCCTCCTTACCTGTGCTGACACCTCACCAGAAAAGCCCAAAGAAATGCCCACCTAGGCTAGTTGCCACAGCAACCTCTGAGTCACCTTTAGCCTCTATTGTGTTGCCCCCATTCTCTTGGTCAGTTCTGGACATGTCCTCAGGAATGGCTTGACCATCCATCTAAGCAGAGTGGTTCGGAAGTCCAGGCCCCTCCCTCTCCAGGTTCCTAGAGAGTATGTGTCAAAGTCTGGCTGCAGAGGAGGTCTGTGGGGAGTGCTTAGTGACTCCCCAGCCAGCTTACCTCCTGTTCCAGCCCCCAAGAGTGACGCTTAAGGGGTACACAAATGTGGTCTAAGTGGTAGGTTCTAATCTCCGCTTTCATCTGGGGAGAGGACCCTGGAATAAATGGAGCCCACTGAGACTTACAGCTGAATGTCAAACGTCTGCTCCTCTAAAACCCCATCTTCTCATCAGGCAGCCTGAGCTGGGAGCCATGAATGCTCCAACCTGTACTTGGATAGGAAATGATGTGTTTGGCCTTGGCTCTACATGGTGAGTTGAGCCAAGGTTCACCAGCCTGAAGCTCAGCCGCCTGGTTTTCATGCTACAACCTTCTCAAGCTGGAATGTCATAAGTAATGATCTGTGCTGGTATCGAGTCACAGCTGACAAGATGTTTCCAGTGTGGCTCCTGGGAGCCTGGGGGGCGGGTCCCACCTGGAAGAAGATCTAGATGCCCCTCACCCACTAACCACAGATCATGGAGGCCCCAGACCCACCATCCACACACCATGCAACTCATTTTGTGTGTGTGTGTGTGTGTGTGTGTGTGTATACATGCATGTCCATGTGCAAATGCACCTCTGTGCATTTGGAGGCCAGAAGTCAATCTTGAGTGTGAATGTCGCTCCTCAGAATTCATCTAGTGACTAGATATCCCTTGGAACTTGCCAATTATGTAGGCTGGCTGGCTGATGTGCCCCAGGGAGCCACCTCCACACTGCTGTATTACAGACAGGCACCACCACTCCTGGATTTTTATGAGGGCTCCAGGAATTGGATTTAGTTCCCTATGCTCATACAGCAAGAACTTTAGCAACTAAGCTATCTAGTCATTCCTGAGCTAGATTTCTTTTTTAAAGGATTTTCTAAAAATTTTTTATGTAGGAGTGTTTTGCTTGTGTGTCTACTGTATGTGTGCCTGGTGCCTCCAGAGATCAGATGAGGACATCAGATACCCTGGACTTGGGGTTACAGATGTTTTTGAGCTCCCATGGGAACTGGTGGTTAAACCTGGGTCCTCCAAAAGAGCAGCAAGTGCTCTTTGCCAGTAAACCCTTTCTCCAGCCCCTGATCTAGAATTCTTGACTCTAAAGCTAATGATGGGAATTCACTGAGTTTCGTGGGGAAGTCTTGTAAGTTCTTTCATCCAAACAGACTCTCAGAATAATTTAATAATCATGAGGTTATTATAGGTCAATACCACACCTCGGCCCCCAGTTTTACCCAGCAGGTTAATCCTTGTAAGGTTCTCTTGGGGTGACATGATATGTCTGCCTCCTTTCACAAGAGAGGGCAGTGTGGCAGGTGGCCCAAGTTTAAGGCCCACCTCCCTCTCAACTACATTGCCTTGGACAAGTTCATTAATTAACCTGAACCTGAGTTTGAACCGTTGGCCTTTGGGGGATATGGTGTTGGCTGAATGAAATCACAGTCTTAGAGAACCTAGAACAATGTTTGACACATGACAGATACCCACAAAACATGGGCCAGCCAAAGACTGTGTGTGTGTGTGTGTGTGTGTGTGTGTGTGTGCGTGTGCGTGTGCGTGTGTGTGTGGAGAGGTCCACACTCCGACCAGCACAGACTGAGCGGGTGGTCCCAGGTGGTCTTTCCTCTCCATCTTTCCTCCGCTCCTCATGGCAGAGATTGGTATGGCTATCATCATGGAGCGTCTGAAGGTGACTTGCCAGCTACCATCTTTCACACATAGCAGAGCTGGGATATGGGCTCTACCCTGTGTGCCTCTCCTGCAAGAGTCTTCTGTGCCTCTGAAGGTCAACCTGCAAGGACTGAACAAGTTGTGTCACTTGTTTGTGGTGACACAAACCCCGAACTGAGTTAACCCAGGCCTGAACCTCCAGAGATACAGCTCTGCAATGCTTGTTGTACAACTTGAAGCCATCACATCTCTCTGAGCCCCAGTGCTTCCGACTGTCATCCACATATGTTGCTGAGACAGTCTCTAAGGCCTGTTCCAGCTCTGATCTGCCACCTTGCTCCTCAGATTTAGGCAAGGACTCAGGGATGCCACCCTTGAAGCCAGCGGACTCCAAAATCTCAAATCGGCCTTCTTCCTTGAACCCATGTTTTTGTGCAGGAATTCAAGATTTGCCAGGCAAAATCTCTGTAATTATCCTACGGGGACTAGCTTGGCTAATAATTACCCCTATTATTTTTAATTGTATTTTACAAGGTACCTTTCATCCAAGATCTCAAAGGACTTCTCAAACATTCATTAGCCAGGCCCCACCCTTCCCCGTTGGTATGAAAGTCAGAGGCTGATTTTTAGTGTCAGAAACAAGAGGTGGGAAGAGGGAGGGCTCTGCCATCCCTGGAGTGATATTACCCTGGCATTCAAAGGAGAGGAGGGTAGACCTATACATGGAAATGCACGCACGCCTTCTGAGCTAGCTCGTGGGACTTCCAGGAGAAGTGGCTGTATGGGGGGACAGCTGCCTTCTTTGTATTCAGTTACTTAGGAGAGAGTAGTTTGGCCTGGCTCAACCCACTCACCAGTTTCACTTTACCTTGGGCCTCAGCTGGGCTCTGAGCTGCTCTCCAGCAGACAGACCTGTGGTGGGTGACCCCAAAGACACAAGTGAGCAAAACAGGCTACCCTCCCCATCACAGGACTTCAAATCCCAGAGGGCTGTGCAGTGAACACGGGGAGGGACCTGTGAGCGTGCAAAGGGACAGCAGAAGAAAAGTTGGCCAAAGAAAGGGCATGTAAGGGTCATTCTGCCCTGCATCCAGTCCTTTCTTTTCTACCAGTGCTACCCTGTGCTCATGTTCAGTCCCTGAGCTTCACTGTACTCGACATCATCTCTGTGCTTTGTGGGGACATTCATGACAAGACCAACCCAACAGCATCTAACCCGTCCTAGACATAAGATCTTTTACACATGACTCAGGCTGGGCCAGTGAGAAGCCTCTTGAAGACTTTTCTAGAACTCCTAGGGGGAAGACAACCTTTTCTTTGAGGTCACCAGGCTAGAATGGTACAGACATGGTCTGGATGGGAAGGACTAAGGATGCCAAAAGGATGCAGAGCTTCAGGATAAAGGGGCACTGACTGCAAACTCCTGACAATGTTTTAGCAGTTACTTGATTCAATGCATTCCCTTTTCACACACACACACCCATAAGCCACTTTAAGCTTGTTTCATTTAGAGCTGAAACACTTTGCTCGTACACCTACCAGATGAATAATGTTGTGGAAGGGATCCTGGGTCTGCTGGAGCATTACCTGACGCTGTCTTAGTGATCCTCCTCGTACATCATTCCGTTCAACCATGCATCCCTTCACTAGAACACATTGGAAGTACTAAAAAGTTGTTTGATGCACATTGCTGAGTGAAGAGATGGATGACTAATTTGCCGTGACAGATTTGGTGATAAAGATTACTCACCCCCTGTAATCCTATGTGGACATGGGTTGATGAATTGCAAGGCAAATTATGAACTGAGACCTTAGAGGTGAGTCAGGAACTCCCCTCCCCAGAACAGCCAGGCTTCATTCATTCCACCTGCTCGCAGTCTGACACAAGCCACTCTTTACCGAACATGATTCTGTCATACTACAGCCCAAATGGGAGGGTCTGGATGTCATTGGCAAGCTTGTGGAGTTTCCTGTTGGAGCTGGTGCCGATACTGTGACTCCCTGGTGACATGAGTGAGACTTGCCAAGGAAAACCTTCATAAGGCCTGTCTTGTTCCTTATACTGGGGAGATCACTTGAAGCATGGAGCTACCCAGGCATTGCAGAGGCCAGGCGAGTGCTCATTCCTCCAGGATGCTGCTGCAGCATCCCAGGACCGTAGTGTGTGGACATAGACCAATCACTCTCTTCATTCTCTTGTTGCTCCAAGGAAATCTGTAACTCACAGAGAAGAAGCGTTGTACCTAGGGTCACATAAGAATTACAAGAAGAGAATGCTCTGAAGCCTCATGCCCCCAGCCAAGGCACTCCAGGTCTATCATTCTTTCCTAGGGCTACCACACAAAACAAGTTGTCTTGTCCCCAGTGGTTCATTTTCTCTGACAATTTACTAGTAAGTCCGTTAGTACGTGCTAATGGTACTAGACTGCCTCACTATGTATGTTGTCTATTTTCATTTGCTTGTGAACTGTGAACCTCCTTGGCAAGGCTGTCACAGAATTTGTGGTGAAAAAAAAACTTAAAAACTACAAGGTTCAACTCCTGCCTGATGTTTGTGTCCCCTCTTTGTGTCACCGCACACATTCATCAGATGTTCAGGTGAAGGCCTGGCAGGGACTAGGAGCTGTGTTCTTGGCTCCCTTGCCTTCCTGACCCCTGTAAGACATAAACATATCAGATGCTTCCTCCCTCCCTTTATAAAATCTTCAGCCTTCTCCTCCATACCCCCTCCTTCTTAGCTAATAAATATAGTAATTCCATAGAGCAATTATGTTAATAGTCTTCTTTTATTCTACCACATGTCTAGTGAGTTCTTCTGATACTACAACCTGACCCAGAATTTCTTGAAAGGTTCATTTATACAGCTGCCCACTCTTCATCACGATATACCCACCTTCAGTAGGATAACTTCTCCCACTGGTCACTAATGGATTAATAATTAAGCCTGGGGTATTTTCTTAGTCAGTAACTTTCTTATTCTTCGGTTTAGAGGCATTTTATTTGCTTTCATTTCCATTTGCTTTTAGTTCCCCCCGCCCCGCACCCTGCACCTGAAACTATGTGCATTAATGGTTCTGTTCATTCAGTTCTTAATTAAGCATAGGTACTGTGCCAGGAGCTGGAGATGCAGACATTGGCCATATGTCATTGTTGAGCTAAGGTGGGTTTATAATTGGTTGATGTGGACAGTTAAGTTCATCCCTACACCATGCGACACTAAGCACTGGACCACAGATGCAAACAAACAGAAGTGAGAGACAAAAACAACCTTGGCAATCTTCAGGTCTAGTTCTCACATTGTGTGTAAGAAGGAACTGAGGCACACAGAGAGAAAAGTCAGGAGCCCATGGGATTACAGAGAGCTAGCAGAAAAATTAAGAATGGATGTGTGCTCTTCAAATATATTCTTCTGAGAATGGCCAAATATGACATTTTGTGTAATAAAACTTTAGAGGTGGTGCTCTGGTGGTGAATTTCACTCAGCTCATTCTGTAACTGAGCGCCTGTCTTCCTGCAGACAGCCCAGTAACATGCCTGCTGTGGTATCTAGAACCGCCCTTCCTTATAGAAGTGACAGGGGCGGGGAACCACTGAACCTTTGCAATGAGACAGAAAACCAAGACATAAAAGTTAAATGACTCATAAAGGTAGAAGCTAAGCCAGGATTAGATTTCAGGTTTACTGCCCCCTTGCCTATTATTATTTTTTTGGACTATCGGAGACGGAATGCTGAGCTCGGACCTGCCCAGAGCAGAACTAAAACTCTTGTTGTAATCTATCAATGCCAGACCCTGCTCTGAACCTATCATAAACGTTTAGATAGCAACCTGTGTTCAACCTTT